TGTGTAAATATGTTTTATTTTCCATTTTCATTTCTTACGGTCACATATATACTGTGCATAACTGGGGCCATATAACATTAAACAATAAACACAGCCATTCCTCTTGTCAACAATACCCCCCAAAATACAAACCCAATGTACCACTTCGACCCTCCATACACCCTTTCTTTTGCCCCCCTCCAACTTTCCTTCTTCTCTCCAACATTCCCCTCTACCCTACTTCCCCTCCCCCTCTATCACTCCTCTCTCCCAGTACATTCCCTCCCTTCCTTCTCACCCTCTCTCCCGTCCTCTCTCCCACCCTCTCTACCCCTCTTTCTTCTAGCCCTCTACAGGAGTGAATCCCTATCCTGATGTCACCCAGGTGTATTGGAACAGCAGTTTCCTAAAGTCTATGGGATCTAGTATGAGACCTGGGCTTGTATTATGTTTTAAATATTTTCAAGAGGCTTTATAAACTTCTTATTACCTTCAAGCAGGAGAGGTTGATAAATTTTAATTTCAAAGACGGGACGTTTTCTTGGAAAGCATCTGGAAAATGTCCTCATGACTTTGCAATTCCAAAGGCATCAGGATAAATCAGTGTTTTCCCAAGCTTAGCAGCTTTAAGATGTATGTGCTTCAATTCCCAGAATTCCTTATTCTGTAATTGTATATTGTCCCAGACAGTTTGCAGGGAGAATGAATTTAAATCAGTTAATTTATATAAATAAATAAATAACCCAATTTGTAGATCACTAGTTCCTCACTCTTAAGGCCAAGCAGCAGTAGAGAACTATCATTTCTGTTGTAAGGTAAATGACCAGACATGCATTTGAAATTGTTTAGAAATTATTAACACTACCCAGCGCTGAAAGCTGAGTTCACTGAACCTGTTAGTGCCAGTGCTGAGCAGAATTAATCAACTGATTGTTTGCATAATCCTTCATTATTTCATTAGAAGCCAGTTAGGTATAGTGGTAAAAATTGACCTAGGAACAAAGAGACTGTGAGTTCTGGGTCTCCCTTAGGCATGAAAGGTGGCTTGGTGACTCTGAGCTAGCCACTCTCTCTCTCAGTGAACCCACCTCACATGATTGTTGTGATGAAAATAGGACAAAGGTATGTTCACTACCTTGAGACAGAGAGATGATAGATTTGGGGTAGGAGGTATCTTTGAGGCAATGTTGACGGATTAGTCCCTGAACTTTTCTTGGCAAATTTCAGAAGTGGTTTGTCACTGTCTTCTTCCTAGAACTAAGAGAAGGCCCTGTTCCAAGGTCATCTAGCTGGTTTTGCACCTAAAGTGGGATTAGAACTCATGGTCTTCTGTTTTCAAGCTTGGTCCTTTAACTACAATTAGTTCACAGACTAATTTCAACTGAATATAGTCTGGAAGTCACTATCATGGTTCCTATACATCTTGAGGCCAAGCAGTCTTGTCCAAGAAATTGACTCCAGGTGACCAACCTTCCAAGAATGAAATGTATTAATTTGCATACCTTTACATTTTTTTATGATCCTTTAATTCTTTTGAGAGAGGGAGCATTAGATATGATAGTCCTAATTATCACCCCGAATAAAGGGGGTAATAATTAGGGCTATCATACCTGAGCTAGATGCCCACTAGATGGCAGAAAAGAGATGTAGAAAACTATAATGCTTTGTTCCATCTTATGGCTGCTAGAATTTTTTTATAGTCCCACTCTATAGTGGGACTATAGTGCCAGTGCTGAGCAGGATATGTGGAAAGCAGGGAATGTGGAAATTGCTTTTCATATTGTGATTTACATATATGCCTGTTTCTTTTTGTGACTAAAGCCTTTTGTTGCTTGTGCAGCTGCTGATGGCTATCTGAAGCAGGCTCCTGGAAACAGACATTTTTTCCAAGTTTGCAGGGTGCACACAGAATATAGAATGCTTCTCCCTGAATTAAGTTTATTTTGTGAAAATTGAGACATGTATCACCTAACTGGATCTCACTTTCCTTGGGAACTCAAAGGCTAATTATTACGCATTTGTCATGTTTCCGTTTTCATGGAAATGATAAGTGAAAAGAATTGAGAGATGCAATATTTTAGCTGCAGTCAGGCACAGTGATGTACCCAGAAACACTTTGGCTCTTTTAATGTATTATTTTCCTGTGAAGGTTTGTAAAGTGTTTAAAAATGGTACATATCAGCATACATATCAAGGAAATCCATAGGAATTCAGGGATTGGTTCTGGGCCCTCCCTCTAGAGGACAATTAACTAAAGGCTCAAATGTTTTCTAGACTTTTTTGTGGCTGTGTGCAGATCTGATACAATGTCAATGGAGATGTCTTCCAGGGCTTGTATAGAGGATGCAATCAGTGGTGGGTTGCAATTTATTTTGCTTGTGCGATGCTTCTGCACATGCACAGAAGCATCTAGGCAGGTGGGCGGAGCTTCCTACCACCGCCACTACCAGTTCATCTGATCTGAGCCGGGCCGGCAGCATGCAGGATGCAGTGGAGAAGATATCAAGACCAATAAAACCTACTGATAATCATTCTTTCCTCTGGATCCATATAGGATCAAATGACATTGCCAGAAGAGATTTTAAAAGACCCTATGGAGGTTATGATGCAGGAAATTAAACATAGCTTACTTTTTTCATTGGTCCTTCCAACTGAAAGTCAGCATAACAAGGAAAATCTAAGATCCTTTAAGCCAAAATCTGAATATGCAAATGATGTTTCCAAGAAAGATCTAGGTTCTATAAAAATACTATGTCACCGATGAAGAACTTTGGGAACAGACTGTATACATCTTATAAAAATTGGGAAGGAAGTCTGTTCTGGAGAACTGGTAAATATCACCTCTGACTGGCCCTGCCTCCATCTATTCTCTGCCTCACAAGTCCCAGCTGATTGGGAGGGAATGGAGATTTTACAATATCCTTTCTCTGCCACGTCCACCAAACCACGCCTGCAGAACCAGTAGTAAAGATGTTTGAATACCACCACTGATGAGGATGTTGAAAAACAGTACAATGTTTGCAGATGATGCAAAACTAGGGGGAGAGGGGACTAATACTTCTGATGAGAAAGAATCAAGTGTTAGGATTACAGAAGCTAGGAGATAGATGAGTCAGGTGTTTTCCTTCTGTTTTTACACAGATCATCCCCTACAATAGAAGCGAGGGAACACTGCTGTTTTTGCAGTGAAAATGGATGTTCCTCTTAAGTCAAAATAACTTTCAGTAGTCCTGAGTAGATGTTCTACATATCCATGACAGTACAACTCCTTGTATTCCTGTCTGCAAAAGACCTGTTTATTGTGATTTGTTGAGTAATATGGAGAAAAAAGAAATGGAAAAAGCAGATGGTAGAAGAAAATATACTGTATATATCTCAGAACTTGCTAATAATGGATTTCAGAAGAAATGTTGACTTTAATTGTAAATATTCTTTTAGAAGGAAATTAGAAGAATTTATTTTACTATCTGTCCATCCACTCATCCAATCTCAGTCAAATGACTCTGGATGGTGATGTCTATATGGCACTAATATTATGCTTGTACTGTCACCAAAAGGAGCTTTGATACCACCATTGCCAAATGTAATGACGAAAAAGAAGATTTAATAAGAGAAAGAGTGGCCTCCGTGAATTATTGGTAAAGATTCCAGACTTTGTTTTGTTATGCTGTTGCCAGCAGCCTTACTACAAGGATATACACCTGAATTTTACTTCTGACCATCGTCACAAATTTTGAGCCAGGTTCCCAAAGAAATTTCTGCTCAGTTTGGTTTAAATGTCTAGGTCCTGGTGAGATATATATAGATGGTTACTGCCTCTATCTCAGTCTCCTGATTTGCCCCTCACACCAAGTAATTGCATTGAAAATCATTTTTCACCTAATTAATTAAGTTGCTGTGCTATGAATTTTATCAGATGAGTGTATTTATTCATACAGTGTGATCATCCGCCCTTGAAATTCTGTGTTAAGGGCTCCTCCCAAAGCAGATTTCCCCACCCCTACCCTGCTAGATATTTGAGTGCCGTAATGGAAAGAATCTGGAATTAAACTTGACACTTTAAAAAAATGTAAATCATGCATTTTTCTCTAAGATATGCTTATCTTTGCAGTTCCTGTTTATGTAATATACAAAAATATATGGAGATGGACTCTAAGTTACTTCTCTCTATTTGCCTTATGCCGATTGTGAGTTAATCTTTCAGTATGCTCCATCAACTGACCTTTTGCTTGGTTTTTTTCTTTGATTGTTATTGCTAAATCCAGGAATTTAGCAGTTAATTGTTAATCAACTTATGAGAGGTCTGATTCAAATCCATTACAAAGCCATAAACTAGACTTCAGTTTTCAAAGGTTTTTGCCACTCTAAATTCCCACAATCCCTCTCCAAATTGGTTAGATTTTCTCTCTTGCAGAAATATAATGCAGCAAAATAAAATATCTTAAACTCAAGTGTGATCATTTTTTCTTTTAAAATCCATCCCAAACTAGGTTTGCCCTGTCTTCTACAATGTTATCATGATATCTCATACATTCCCAAAAACTAAAGCAAAGAAAACCACCATCTCCACTACGATTTGTGAATTAATGGACCTCATTTCAGAAATATGTAAAATAAATATAACCATAAGTCAAATTTGGAACTTTCATCAACAAATGACATAAATGGTCTGTGCTCAGCTTTGGTAAAAAAAAAGCATTTTAAAGAAGGTTTTTCCTAACCAGAAATACAGTTTTCTATACTGTATAATACCTTAAATCTTCATAAACGAAGCTCCAAAACTCCATTCACCCCATTAATGGAGTTGGTTCATCTCATTTGTATCAAAATTTCAGAGGTTAGCTTTTGACACTGAATAGTAATCCATCCTTCAGCAGTCAAAAGAAGTGATAAATTAAAAAGAAAAGACTGCAAAGTTATAGAATAACTACTCTTAAAGTTCATCACCAAACTTGGAGCTCTGGTACTGTGGGAATTGTGAAACCTGTATTTCATTGCCCCTTAAAAAAGAAGGATGGAGGAATGTAAAACTGAACTGTAAAACTAATTAAATATTGTTGATATTTTAATTTATCACATTTCTCCAATATAAGTCAACATAAATTTTCTAACAAAACAAATGCCATACTTTATTAATAACAAAATGCTTTGGATAACAGTTTTAGAAACATTCCATGCAGACATTTACCAGAACCAAAACCTAGTTATACTAACCCTAACCTTAATCCTAACTTTAACCTTAACCCTACCTGGCACCCTAATAAACAAGCTGATGGGTACTGGCAGCCCCAATTTGGAGAAAATTAATGCTGTATAAGAGGGCTGAATCATCAACCCTGCTTCTTTGCCATCATAAAATATACCATACATTATTTAATGTTAGCAAACCACTACAACAGTTACAAGGCTGATTATTTAACTTCACACTCCAATAGCCAATTACCCCTAGGGGATGTTCTCCTGAAATGCGAGCAATACTGGCAACTGGGTGGAGTGATAGCCTTTCCTAGTCTCCTTTAACATTGTCAATCTCTATCCTAAAACATATTCCAGAATGTCTTCAGAGAATGTTATCAGCTTTGCTGGCAGGACTCATCTTGGTGACAACCATAAATGCTCTTTTGCCGCCATAGAGAAATGTTTTGCACAACCAGAATCAGCCTGTGCTGGCAGTGTTCAGTAATAATAGGGAACCTGGTTGACATATTTGGGGCAAATAAGTAAGCCTTACTCTGAAGCCAGCAGGGACCATCATCCAAATGTGGGCTGATCAGCCCAGAATAGCTAGGTAATAGGCTCCCCCATGAATACTTTGTTTTGGCCCCTATTATTCTACATCCTAGCAATTCACTTATATACGTTGCTGGTCTTCAACCTACAGAGCTTTCTTGTCCTGTAGCCTGAGCAATTGTGCTACACAGTAGGGGATTAAGGCAGCCACTATCAAGGGCACAGCCACACTTTTGCAAAAAGAAAACAGGTAGAAGAGAAGCTCTATGTTGACTGGAGGCTTGAAGGAATCAAGCAGGTGCAGGATAAGAAGTGAGATACCAATGCTGCCCAGTCGAAAGTTTAGCCGCTGCCCTTGTTTACTTTTGCAGCTTTCCGTGTACATTGAACAATTAAGGGCCAGTCCCAGGCCATAGAGGATTCCCAGGTTGCGCAAGAGGCCAGCAAAAGGGGTAGTGTCCAGATGCACCCATTCTGGATGCTCACACCATGTCTTGGCCTTTTCTAACGTCCACAGGAGGTCCACACCGAGTACCTTGAGCAGTAGGTAGAATCCCAGAGCAAAAGAGAAGAGGAAAATGGTGGTAGCTGTATATTTCTGCATGCTGAAATCATAGATGAAAGTGATGTACTGGAAAGATTTGGCCACCAAAATACCTAACAGTAAAGAGGAAATAACACTGTTTAGAATGTGATAGCACTCTCAGAAATATAAGCCAACAAGTCAGCTTAAATCTGCTGAAAGCTGTGAGGAGAGGGAGTCTCTTGTCTCAAACAGTATGCTTTATATGTTTACATATACTTTATCCAATTTTGGACACAGGGAATTGCCTAAATAGACAACTGGTAAAATATACTGGTGTAATCTAAATATCTGCGCCCTATATTATATCTCGGTATACCGTGACAAACGTTGTATAAGGACAGCACTGACCTGAGAAGACACCAGCAATGACTTGGTGTGGAAAATGAGCTGCCAGGAAGACACGAGAGACACAGACACAAATTTGGATGGTCCAAAAAACAGCCCAAAGCACCGTTTGCAAAAAGCTGCCAGTGGGGAAAAATAAGAGGGAGAAAAAAAAGAAATATATCTCCAACTTGCAAGTTATTTTAGAGACTAGAAAGATGGCCAAATGCTCCCTTTCCACTTATCCCGCTTGACCTGAATTAAGCACAGTTATTTTCTCTGCTGAACTACTTTGGACTCAAGGTTTTGTAAGAAAAAAATGTCTGGATTTCTTTTCTCTTTAATAGTCGACAAAGTCCAACCTGGCTTTATAACATTGCATGTATTCTTGAATCCCAAGACAATTCATATCACAGGTTAAGGTTAAGTCTTCAACTTACAATTATTCATTTAGTGACCAACTGAAGTTGCAATGGCACTGAAAAAAGTGATTTACAACCAGTCCTTAATACTTGTAGCATCTCCATGATCATGCGATTAAATTTGAATGCTTGGCATTTATTTATAATGGTTGCTGTGCCCTGGGGTCATGTGACTGCCATTTATAATCATCCCAGCAGGCTTCTAACAGGCAAAGTCAGTGGAGGAAGCTAGACTCACTTAATGACATATGATTCACTTAATAGCTGTAGTGATTAACCATTGTGACAAAAATGGTTGTAAAATCAGGTGTGACTCACTGAATGACTCCCTTGCTTAACAACAGAAATCCTTACAGTGGTTGTAAGTCAAGAACTACCTATACTGTCCCTTATATTCATATATCTGCTTTATTTCAGTGCATCCCAGTTTTCTTTTCTTTTTTACATTTTTACAGAATTATCAGATGGAATATTCCCTTTCATTTTAGCAATACTGTTATATTAGTCTGTCAAATGCCAGTTTGTACTAAAGTGTGTGAGTGCACATATTCCCAAACTAGTATTTTATCTGCAATTTTGCATGGTTCTTATAAACAGATTTTCCTAGCAATATATTTTGGAATGAATATGTGAATCTGATATAAATTTCCTCTGGTTTGTCTGTGTGCTGATGTATGGGTGGTGGGTGGCTGTGAGTGTAGATGAATATTTGATTGCATATTTACAAAAATATAGATTCAATTAATTAATTAAATTAAATTAATTTGGTTTGAAAAATGTATTAAGTAGAAATTAAATGAATTTCTTCATATTTAGTTTAGGCTAGCACATCTTTTTATTATTTCACCAAATGCTGTTGCTTACCGATGTTTCCATGATGGACGTTTCCTTCCTTGGGTGAGAGAGAGAATGGCTGTAACCATCACATAATACACACCAGCTGAACCCATTGCATGGCCAGAAGGACTCCCTAAAGTTGGAAGAAAAAACTTTTGATTTTCCAAATTACCCATCATGTATAGCCTTTAAAAAAATGAGTGTCTGCAGCAGTGGTGGGTTTCAACATTTTTTACTACCTATTCTGTGGGTGTGGCCTGTTTTGTGAGCATGGCTTGGTGGTCATGTGACCGGATGGGCATGGCCAGCTTGTAAAATGTGGTGAAACTCACTTAATAACGCTCTTGCTTAGCAACCAAAATGTTGGCTCAGAAACTCTGTCATTGAAGTCTTAAAGCTGTGAAGTTACAAGACCCTTGCACCCCTAACCCTTTAGGAAAAAAACCCCAGGGGTGTTCAAACTTGACAACTTTAAGACCTGTGGACTTCAGCTCCCAGAATTCCTCCTCCAGTCATGTTGGCTCAGGAACTCTGGCATTGAAGTGTGCAAGTCTTAAAGCTGTCAACTTACAAGTCCCTTGTACCCTTAACACTTCATGACCACCACCCCAAAAAACCCTAAAACTTTATTTTTTAAAGAATTTTGCACCTTGGGAACGTTGGAACGGTGCACTAGCCACAGACACCTCCACTGATTTTGAAGTCTTTCTCTCGCACTGCCAAAACCCCTAGCCGCTCTTCACCTGTGGTCACCCCTTCAACCTCCCACCCAAGGAGGAAGTGTGGCGGTCCTCCTGGAGTTACCCCGAGGAGCACTTTCTCCCACCCCCAAATAGCATGTAGAAAAGTGAGAGGGGAGAGTGGAGCTGCTCTTTTTTCTGTGGGGCAGAAGAGGCGAGGTGGCCTCAGGTGCCATCCGGGGACAGCCCTTCAGAGGCGTCGCTTCTTGGCCCCCCCCAAAAAGCAGCGGCAAGGAAGGAGTCTTGTGGCTGCAGCAGCAGCAGAAGTGGTGGCAGCGACTGAAACACAATCCGGGCAGTCAGTTCCAGCTCTCCCTTCCCCAAGCATGTCCCATTGCTACTGGCACTACTTTTGGTGAATCTGGGATGTGGAGCGAAGGGAAGGACGCGACAAGAGATATGTGAAAGTGACTTTATTCAGCTCATAGTAACTGCGATTCGACGTGGCGTGTTTCGCGCCCTACATTTATACCCCCGGGTTTGAACGAGGAGCCAATGGGGCGTCGAGTAGCTCGACCAATCAGGGCGAGGATTGAACCGGCTCCGCCCGGGAACCAATCAGGAAAAGCGTCCTTGTTCGCGCGCTTGTATTCCCGCGCTAGTATTCAACAGTGCTTGGGGAAGGAAGAGCCAGAACTGATTGCCCAAGATTGTGCTTCAGCTGCCGCCATGAAAATTTCTGTTTTGTAAGCTGAGAAGCTGGCAAAAAACCCTTCATTTCCCTGTCGCCACCAATTGGTCCGTTCCCTCCCCATACAGATTGATGCCATAGGAGGGACGGAAAAAAGCCGATCTTGGGAGGGACCTTCCCTTCCCCTCCAAAGAGCCCATGCCAGGAGAGAAAAGGCAGACTGGTTTGAATACAGGCGGGCGGTTTGGGGCCGGTTTGAGGCCAGTGCCTGCTTCACTTGTTGGGGAGGTGTGAAATAAAGTGCTCCTGCCACCAAGGGTGAAGGGGAGCACCTTCGCTATCGCTGTGGCTCCTCCTTTCATTCTCTGCCCACCCGAATGAGCAAAGGAGGCACTGGTCACTAAACCGCCCATGTTCAAACCAGCCCATCTCCTCTCTCCTGGCATGGGGTCTCTGAAAGGGGAGTTCCCTCCCAAGACCTCACTTGTCCTGGTGGTAGCAGCTGAGCAAGGGAAAGAGGCATTCGATAAAGCAGTCCTCTGTCACCGCCCCCAAGGGCAAAGGAGAGTGCCTTTGCCCTCAGCCATTGCACAGCTCCTTTCTTTCTCTGCCCACCTGAACAAGTGAAGGAGGCACTGGCCACTAAACTGTCCACACGCCTGCATTTAAACCAATCTGCCTCCTCTGGCCATGGCCTTGACTCCTGCCTTCTTGTTGCTTCCAGTCCAGCCCACACAATCTCCCTGCCACCCCACTGACCTGAGGACACTCCTGGATGCAGTTGGCTTTCTCCTAGCAATCCTTTCTGGCTGCGCCCCCAGAGCAGTCACATGGTGTGGGCCCATGGGCTGCTGACTGACACAGGGTCTGCCTGGATGCCCAGAGAGAAAGGATTGCCAGGAGAAAGCCAACTGCTGCCAGTAATGGGGCATGAAGGAGCGGCTGCCCAGCAGCTGCTGTGTCCTGTTGTAGGTGCCCAGGATGGCCTTGATGTCCCACCTTCCTGCCACCTCCAATCCAGCCCAGTGGAATCTCCCCACCACCCCACCGACCTGGGGACACTCCTGGCTCTGCTGGATGGCTGTTCCTTCGTGTCCCGTTGCTAGTTGCAGTTGGCTTTCTTCTGGCGATACTTCCTGGCCAGGAGAGACTCTCCAGGGCAGCCCCACCATTCCGGCTGTGCGCTGCGCCCTGAGAGCAGTCACATGGTGATGGCGCACAGGCAGCTGACTGATTCAGGGTCCGCTCCAACCTCAGCTCCCCTGAAGAAACCCCATACCAGCTTCCTTCTCTTTGGGAAGCGGTTTGCAAAATCCCAGTTTTACAAGGCGCTTGTCAAAGAGAAGGAAGTGTGGGCTTCTTCCAACAGCTGAGTCCTCCACTCTGGCAAAGGAAGTGGGTGAGCGGGGCAAGCAGGGTGCAGACAGGCTGGCAGAGAGAGAGAAAGAGAGAAAGAGAGAAAGAGAGAAAGAGAGAGATAGAGAGAGAAAGAGAGAGAGAGAGAGAGAGAGAGAGAGAGAGAGAGAGAGAGAGAGAGGCAACCAGGTGGGCAGGGGAGCAAGTGAGGGGGGCAGGCCAGGGGAGGGACCGTTTCTGGTATGGGGCCACAAATGGATGCCGGATTTCTGCCACCAATACGTGTGTACCAGAGCATACCGGCTGAAACCCACCTCTGGTCTGCAGCAGGATTAAGTGGTTTAGGATCGGATTGGTATTAAAGAGATCCAGATCAAGCCAAGGAAACTCATTGGATGAATTGGATCAGACCTTCTATCTCAGTCCAGCCTATCTCACAGGGTTGTTTTTGTGGCCTAGATCTCCATTAACCTTGAGTCCTTGGAGGACATATGCAATGCAAATCTAATAAACAAACATCTTAATGCATTTGTTGGTGTTGTATTGGAACTAGGAGTTTGAAAGGTGAGCTTTAAACAGGGAGGACATATAGAGCTTGCATGATTACAATGTCAAATAAACCATGTTTCAGTGAAGGGGAGGTGCATAGGCTTCCAGTTGGAAGGAATTGCTTTACATCTCTAACTCTGTTTAAATAAATTCATCTTCCTAATGACTGGATTTTATTTACTTGACAGTTGATGCCTGTGATGAAAGTAAGCTCCAGCAGGTATATATCCAGTTGAAAGCTGCACTCTGTTTCTTTAATCTCATTTTGCCAAGTGGGATGTCATTTTTTACCCATCCTTTTCTCATATTGTCCCACTTCTTGATTTTAATGGGGTTTTCTTGGGAAACTCACCTGGGCCGGTTTCACAGGTAACTGGAAACTGCTGGATTTCAGGAGCAGACATATTTTGATAGAAATTGGTCTCATGTACCCACCAGTAGGGTCTTTGTCCAAAAAGGATCCTGCAGAGAAAGAGGTTGTCTGAGGTGTTATGAGTTGATAAAAAGAGAAGGGATTCCATATTTAAGGCCACGAGCAATAGTGAAGTCACATGCTCATCGATTTTTCTGAACATTGAGATCCAGAGTATTTACAAAGAGATACTAATCTAGAAATCATGGGATTTAGGAATACTGTGCAAGAAAGTAATAAACATGGCTCTGCTTATCCATTGGACAAATGTTTTATCTTAGCTTTGAAGGCTACACAACTTTAGTAACTAAAGACCTTTTTTCCCATGCCATGAAAAATAGCTTCCAAGTCTTTAGCTAATTTACAAGAAGAAGAGGGAAAGGCGAGAAAGTGGAAGGAAACCCTCCCCCCCCAAATCTTAAATTCTATCCAGACAATCTAAACAAGCAGGTTCACATAGTAAAAGATGGGCTCTGATAAGGATGGGATGAGCTTGTCATTTCTTCAATGGTTAATTTCTTAGTAAGATAGTTACAAAATCGAAGCTTTTTAAGGTGGAAGATATTACTGCCTAGTCATTGTGTAGCTATGGTTGGTTGACTAATTCATAATTTCCTGAATTTGTTCAACTGCCTAAGGTATAAACCATAGTTTACAAACTACAATTGGCAGTATTCACACAATGCATTAAGAAAAAGCAGACAGACATGGCTTAGCATATGCGAGCCCAGCCTCTATGTTCAACAGCTCATCTTAACAATGAAACTCTAAGTTCATGTGATAAACTGAAGATGACAAGCTACTTACCATTTAAATACGAGGTTTAGCCAGTCACCAATCACAGCAACCCAGATGAGCTTGATTCCCACAGTTTCACAGAGATGGAACCAAATAGGAAACAGGACAAAGAAAGTGTTTCGGAGGTCAGCAGCAAAAGAAACAAAGAGGAACCAATCCTGCGATCCTGGGTATCTTGTTTGCAGAAAGTGTATGGCTTGGATGCCTGTGTGATATAGAATATCCATACTGGCTTCCATTCTATCTCCAGTTGAGCAACAAGCTATCTTTGATCTATTACTGCAGCTGCAATGCGCCTTTTAAAGAGGCCTGCTGTCTTTTATCCTCTCCTGTGTGTAGCAGCTTGAGCTTTGAACCCAAAATTACTTTGGTCACAAAAACACCTCCTGGTCAAAGGTGCTTCCCCAAACAGCTTGGAACAAACACACTTAAAGCAACTTATATAAGAGGGGCAAGCAAGCTATCCAAAACAATCCAGGTGGTCATCATGACAAAAGTATTAATTCTTTGCAGAATTGTTTCATGGTTATCATTCTGCCTCCATCTCTTGACAAAAATGTAAGAGAACATAGCTGTGTTTTGTCTGTGAATCATTTATCTTGACATTAGATGGACAATTTACGGTTTGGATTCGTGGTATCTAAATTTAATCCTGGATCTTACTGAATATAGCTCAAATGGACGTTCTCTAAAGGTCAGTTGGTATTAGTCCATTGTTTGAAAATCTGAAGGCAACTACAGATTTAATCCTTATCTTACAACCATTCGTTTAGTGACCAAAATTACAACAGCACTGAAAAAAGGTACTTTTAATCACTTTTCACACTTTTGAGTATTGCAGAATCTCCATGGCCACATAATCAAAATTCAGATGTTGAATGTTTGAATGTTTATTTTATTTATATGCTGCCCTTTTCCCTGAAGGGGACTCAGGGCGGCTCACAACTCAAACCAGGGAAGGGGGATACAAACAAAAATTAAAAACAACACCAAACAATACATAATTTAAAACACACAACAGTCATACCATTCGAGACGGGGGCAACAGTTCTTTAGCCCCAGGCCTGTCGGAACAGCCAGGTTTTAAGGGCTTTGCGGAAGGCCTGGAGAGTGGTGAGGGTTCGAATCTCCATGGGGAGTTCGTTCCAGAGGGTCGGAGCAGCCACAGAGAAGGCTCTCCTCCGGGTAGTCGCCATTCGACACTGGCCGGCGGATGGAATTCGGAGGACGCCTAATCTGTGGGATCTAATCGGTCTAGTGGAGGTAATTGGCAGCAGGCGGTCTCTCAAGTACCCAGGTCCAATACCATGAAGGGCTTTATAAGTGACGACTAGCGCCTTGAAGCGTATCCGGAGACCAATAGGCAGCCAGTGCAGCTGGGTGAACCGAGGTGCACCCACGATCGCTCGCGCGGCTGCATTCTGGACAAGCTGAAGTCGCCGAATGCTCTTCAAGGGCTGCCCCATGTAGAGCATGTTGCAGTAGTCCAGTCTAGAGGTCACAAGGGCGCGAGTGACTGTTGTGAGGGCCTCCCGGTTCAGGTAGGGATGCAACTGGTGCACCAGGCGAACCTGGGCAAATGCCCCCCTGGTCACAGCCGACAAGTGGTGTTCAAAAGTCAGCTGTGTTTGGCAATTGGCATGTATTTATGACAGCTGCAGCGTCTCTGAGTCAAATGATCACTTCTGTCAATAGGGAAGCCTGATTCACTTCACAACCATGTTACTAACTTGACAACTGTAATGAGTCACTTGTCAAATGTGGCAAAAAGGGTCATGTTATTGTTCAGTTGCTAAGTCATGTCCAACTCTTCACAATCCCTTCAATCATAGCATGCTGTCCACCACTATTTCCACTGCCCAAATTCATGTTCATTGTGTGGACGGCACTATCTAATCATCTCCTCTTCTGCCATACCCTTCTCCTTATGCACTCAATCTTTCACAATGTTAGTGTTTTTTCCAATGAGTCCTCTCTTCTCATTTGGTGACCAAAGTGTTTGAGTTTCAGAAGAAAGACCATAAAATGGGGCAAAATTCAATAACTGTCTTGCTTAGCAATGTACATTTTGGGTTCAATTGTGGCTGTAGATCAAGGATTACAGTATAAGCTTTTAAAATTAACTGAAATTAAAAAGATATTTGTTAATATTTTATTGAAAAGGGTAAAGGTAAAGGTTCCCCTCACACATAGTGCTAATTGTTCCTGACTCTAAGGAATGGTGCTCATCTCCATTTCAAAGCCGAAGAGCCAGTGCTGTCCGAAGACATCTCCGTGATCATGTGGCCGGCATGAGTAAACACCGAAGGTGCACAGAATGCTGCTATTTTATCTACTGATGGTTATGAAGATCAAAAGCTGTAGTTGGCATCAGTTTTCCTTCTACCAAAGAATACTTGCTCCTGCTCAAATATTGCAAATTAGTAACATATTTCAATCATTTCAATGCCCATAATCATAATATGAAATAATAAGCAGTGTTGGAATACAGTTTTCATATATTCTGTACAACTATGGGTCTGCTGTCCCACTAGCAAATCTAAAAAAAGAACTCCTGGGACATTGATCTTCCCATAAAGTAAAACTTTATTGAATACACTATATTGGCACAGAAAAAGCAAGAACTGCTCTGAGTTTCCCATGCAAAAGCCCACATAGTTATTGATTTTCCCCTTTGGCTACCCCACTCAGTTTATTGTGTTGTTCAATTGAATATGCTCCATTCCTATTGAGAATGGCCTGCTTCATTCCAAAAACCTGCTCGGTGTGACCTTGGGGGTGGCAACAGGGTATCACGATCTGCAGACAGAGTCTTGGCATTCCATTCCCACCCTAAACATTCCAATGCCCCCCTTGTTGTCAAGTTGAGAGCAACGACGTAATTAGGTGAGTGAATCACTCTTGACATGCCAAACCCCCCCTGAAGAAAGATACATCTGTAATAAATATAAACACACATAAGCATGAGTAATTATTCATTGTACAAAATATTAGTCTCACTTTGGTCATGTAGGGTATCTGGAATGAAACCTCTTTACTAACCTACATGCTTTAATGTCCCTCACCACCTGCTCTGCATCATCTATGGGGTAGCCTTTCCACCGCACAAGGTACTGCAACTTTCCCTGTTGGTGTCTAGAGTCCAGGATTTCCTTAATTTCATAACGCTCCTCCTGTTTTATGAGGACCGGAGGTGGTGGGTGCCCTTTGACTGGCCTCAGTCTCTAGAGTCTCAGAAGGGCTTTAACAGGTTGCAATGAAACACTGGATGGACCCAACTAAAACTTCTGGGCATCTGTAGTTCCACTGTCATCGGATTAATAATCTGCACAATGGGTTTATATACTTGGGACCCAATTTCTTACAGGGCTGTTCTACTTTTAAATATTTTGTAGATGGGTACACTTTATCACCCACCTTGAATTCTCTTTGAGAGGCTCTCTTCTGGTCGGCTTGCTTTTTCTGGGCCTCCCTTGCTAAGTTGGCCAAAGGGTGGGGGCTGGTGGGTGGGCGGGATGATGTACAGTAGGTAGGACAGACTCATGGTTCCATGCGGGTTGGATTAATGGCTTCATGAACTTTTATAGGCAATTCATTCCCATTTTTGCAGATAGCACTCCTATCATGAACTTGTTAAAAAGGGAATGGGGGTTGAAGCCCAGAATGAGTTAACCCTTGTTGAGTGCTTGTGGTTTGTAGTTTGAGGACCCCTGCCATAACCCATATGGTTCTCAGAGAGTCCATCCACTCTGCCAGTGTCGCAGAGGATAGGGGCTCCTGGGGAGGTTCTGGCATGGCTACGAATTCAATTCAGTAGTCATCTTAAAAGGGGTAAAATCCATCCTACTATGAACTGAGTTATTGTAAGCCACTTTGGCAAATGGCAGACAAAGTTAGTTAGTACTAGGATGAAGGCAAGCTAAGCCCTTGGGATGAACTTATCTAGTTCAAATACTCCTGCTGGAAGTTTGTGGTAAATTGTACAATACCACCCGGTCTGAGATGACCCACTTTGGGACCCCATGCAGCCTGTAGATGTGTTGCATGAACATTTTTACAAAGACCCAGGTTGACGGGAGCTTTGGGCATGGTATGAAATGTGCCTGTTTTGAAAACAAGTCTACAACGGTTCATATTACAGTCTTCCTGCCACTTTCAGGTGACTCCACTACGAAGTCCATGGCTACTTCCTCCCATAGCATAGTTGGGTTGTCTGCCAGTTATAACAGCCCAGAGGTTCTCCCTGGCAAGTGTTTCATAGATGCATATACAGGGCAACTCACCACATAGGCTCCTATGTCCTTCTTCACACTTGGCTACCAAAACAAAATGCAGGGTTTTTACAAACTGAAAGTGCTCTTCTGGCTTTGCATCACGACTCCTTTGTAGGACCTTAGTTCTCTGGTTGGGGTTGGGGTATACACTTTATCTCCCTTCCATGCTAACCCTTGTTTCAGCATCAAGTCACTCTTGTGCTTTTGAAACCACTCATCCCCTACAGGGCTTCCTTCTGACTGAGGGTGGCTCTTCTGTGGCTGCCTCATGCGCACTGGCATTGCAAGTTGTTTAGAGGGGATGATAGAATTAGCAGTCTCTTCTCTAGTGCTTTTACATTGAGACTTTATAATGCCTTGGTAAGGCCACACTTGGAATACTGCATCCAGTTTTGGTCACATGGTGTAGAAAAGAGGTGGAGACTCTAGAAAGAGTGCAGAGAAGAGCAACAAAGATGATTAGGGGACTGGAGACTAAAACATATGAAGAACAGTTGCAGGAACTGGCCATGTCTAGTTTAATGAAAAGAAGGAACAGGGAAGACATGATAGCAATGTTCCAATATTTGAGGGGCGGCCAAAAAGAAAAGGAAGTCAACCTATTTTCCAAAGCACCTTGTGCATGGACATGAACGAGAAGCAAAGGATGGAAACTAATCAAGGAGAGAATCAGTCTAGAACTAAGGAGAAGTTTCATGGCAATTAGAACAATCAATCAGTGGAATGACTTGCCTTCAGAAATTGTGGCTGCTTCATCACTGGAGGTTTTAAAGAACAGATTGGACAACCATTGTTTAAAATGGTATAGGGTATTTCACTCAGAATTTTTCTCTCCTGCTTGAACAGGGATTGAACTAGAAGACCCTTCTAACTCAGTTATTCTGTTCTGTTAGAAATGTTATGGTGGAATTGAATTGCTATCACATCTTAGTTGTTTAGAGGGGAAGGCCCATCAGCTGGAATGCAAATTCTGTTGTGAATTTCTACCATTAGGAAAGTTGTCCCTCCCAA